GCCTGGTCTACACAGTGAGTTCCAGGCTAGCTGGGGCTACAGGGATACAGGGAGACCCTGTCTCGAAAAGACCAAAAAGAAAGAGAGAAAGAGAGGAAGAGAGAAAGAGAGAGGAAGGAAGGAAGGAAGGAAGGAAGGAAGGAAGAAAAAGAAAAAAGAGGAAAGAGAAAGAAATGTACATCCAGGGCTCCATCTCAATTGACTTCATCTCTGAGGAAGAACAGCAGTCAGTGCTTTAACAGCCCCAGATGGTCCTGATGTACAATAAAGTCTGAAAACCAGTCATCTCCAGAAATGCCTTTAAGTATGAAATAGAATTGAATTGGGAGAGTCTATAAAATGAAAGGCCGAATTTTTGGTCCATCGTTGTGGATTATGTGCAAGGCATTTTTATTAATAGGACCCTTTTTCTTGTGGGGCATTTGTTCAGAAGTGCTTTCCCAACATCACCTGACTGACCCTATCTTTTGGGTGCAGTGTTCATGGAGGCCAGAAGAGGTTGTTGGATCCCCTGCAGCTGGAGTTACAGGTAGCCATGAGTCATCTGACATGGGTGTAGGAACCCAACTCCAGTCCTCTGCAAGATCAGCAAGTGCTCTTAACCACTGAGGAGCCATCTCTCCAGCCCCCTGATTGACCTATCTAAGAATGTTCCAAAGACCTAAGAATCAGGTCTGGCTGCCTTTTGTTCACCAAGACACAACAGCAGAAGTTTTTAGAAAACACATCCCAGGAAAAACTTACAGACTCAGTGTACCACACTGTAAGCTGCTAAGCTTTGGAAGGAAGTTTTAATTCTTCCATCTAGTAGGAATATAAAAGGCCAAAAGGTCAAAGTACATATTATATTTCTATGATATTTTCCCTTCCACATAGGGAAATTTTCCAGCAGAGACAAAAATCCATGAAATAGGCAATTCATCTGCTGATTTGATCCAGGCTGTATTAATGGACACTAGCATTCCTTTGTAAAAAAGATTAAATATTATACCTTCAAACTGGGACTGGGGATGTGGCTCAGTTGGCAGAGTGCTTGCCTAGCATGTATAAGACCCTAGATTCCATCTCCAGCAAGGACTAAAACCAGGATACACACTTGTCAACCCAGCACTCAGAGGTGAAGGCAGGAGATCAGAGGTCCAAGGTCATCCTCCACTTCACAGAAAGATCAAGGTCAGCCTGGGAAACATGAAATCCTATCTCATGACAAGAAAAAATAAAATTAAATAAATAAATACCTTTGAACTGTTTGATCATGTCCTGATGGTTCTCAACCGCTTCCTTCAAGATCACTTCCGGCTGGTCCATTTTCCACCGCCATTCAGTGCCCACAGGATTTGTGTGATGCCTGTGAACACAATACAGAGTACTAAGGCCTCTTGTCATAATGCCACGGAGTCTACAGTGACCAGTCCAGACAATATAGAACCAGGGTTGGCTTCCTCCTAAGAGCTCCACTGTTCAAAGATTCTCCCAGCTTATTTTAAGTCATGACACCTGGCAGATGTGTGGAGTGAGGGTTCACTCAACGTTTCTGCCTGACTCGTGGCTGCCGAGTCAACTGACCAGATCCTTCCTGCTTTTTAAGATTTGTTTTTAGAGACAGAATGTCACTATGTAGCCCTGGCTGGCCTGGAACTTGATACATAGACCACAATGGCCTTGAACTCAGAGATCTACCTGAGTTCTGGGATTAAAGGTGTGCACCATCATGCTTGGCATAAAGATTTATTTTATTTTTATTTACATATGTGTGTTGTCTGTCTGTAGGTGCACATGTGAGTGTAGTGCCCACAGAGGCCAGAAGAGGGTATAGGATCCTCTGAAGCTGGGGTTACAAGTGATTTCGAGTAGTTCCACTTGAGTGCTGGGAACTGAACTCAGATCCTCTGGAAGATCAGTATCTGCTCTTAACCAGTGAGCCATCTCTCCAGCCCTGCAGCTATGATTTTTAAATGCTGATTCAATTACCAGTACTCAAGCTGACAATCTTATGTTACTTTTCACAATTAAGTTTACTGAGATTTGAGCTCAGCAGAGCTGTCAGGTGAGTCTGAGCACACCCCAGGCAGAGCTCACAGCATCTGGTCTGTGATGCACCAGGCTGTGCATCTCCACTTACCGCCAGCAGAAGACACACTTGTTTGCACAGGCCAAGCTCGGGGTGGTTTCCATACAGCGGTGACTCTCGATGCCATAGAATGTGTGTTTGTAGCAACCTCCTCTCCCCCGAAGCATCGACTGTGACAAGCCAAAAACATGTCATCGTTTGAATAAAATCACCAGAGCACAAAAAATGAATAGCCAGGCTTTGGTATTTTGTATGTTTTCATTTTATTATTATTAATATGTGTGTGTGTGTGTGTGTGTGTGAGAGAGAGAGAGAGAGGAGAGAGAGAGAGAGAGAGAGAGAGAGAGAGAGAGAGAGATGTGTGAGTGGCACAGGCATATGGGGGTGAGAAGATAACTTTGTAGATTGGTTCTCTTTTTCTACCTTTATGTGGGTTCTAGGGACTGAACTCAAGTCCCCAGGCTTACATGCCAAGGACGTTACCCACTGAGTGATCTTATCAGCTCCAAAGGAATCATTAAAAAAATTTAGCCTTGGCCAGGGGTGGTGGCACACGCCTTTAATCCCAGCAATCGGGAGGCAAAGGCAGGCAGATCTCTGTGAGTTAAAGGCCAGCCTGGTCTACATAGTGAGTTCCAGGGCAATTGGGGCTACAGGGAGACCCTGTCTCAAAAAGACCAAAAAAAAAAAAAAAATTATGTGTATATACTTGCACGAGTTTATGCAGGAGCCCACGGAAACAAGAGGAGGGTATCAGATCCCCTGGAGCTATATAGAGTTATATAGAGTTGTGAGCTGCCTTGTGCACACCTGGAACTGAACCCAGGTCCTCTGCAAGAGCAGCATGCGTTCTTCATCCTTGAGCTACCTCTCTAGGCCTCAAAGGCATCACTGTTAAGAGGACAATGTGGGGCTGCTGAGACAGCTCAGTGGGTAAAGGCACTTGCTTGCAGTCTTGACAGCCTGACGTTGAGAGAAACCATCCACTCCTGCAAGTTGACTGACTTCTACATGTATGCCATGCACACCCACAGACACATATACACACCACTAATGAGACTTTTTTTAGCTTTTGGCATTGCTCAGCACTTGTCCCACTGTCAAGCAGTGTGAACCCCACCCCTCAGTTCCACCTTCTCATCTTCCTTCTGTCACTCCAATGTTGACTGATGTTATGCTCCACAAATCCCCAAGGCTCCACTTCACGCTTTGTTTGCTTTGTGTCTAATCTATTCAGGTCCCTGTGGTTCAGACTTGGTAAATCCTATTGATTGTTCGAGGGTGTGGATCCTTCCATCGATCCACCAAGGTCAAGGTCAGAGCATAGCAGCCCTTCACCTCTGAATGACTATGGAGCCCATCAGGAAATAGTCTTATTTCTGTTACTATGCTTTTCAGTTTTATTACACCCTCTTGGTTCTTTTTTAAACCCTGCTCTTTGTTGGGATATTTTATTTCTTCATTTGTTTGAAGACAATTGGTAACTGATTGCTGCAGCATTTAGCTACTCAAAGCCTTCACTGGGTCCCATGTGTTGACTCATCTGTGGGGGGTGGCAGCTGACCATCTTTTCCTATCTAAGTTGGTTTTCTCAGCTCTTGGTGTGACAGGTGACTTTTCAGTCTTGTCGGTGAGGTGAAGAGACCAGAGATCCTCCCTCCTTCTTTCACTTTAGCAGGTTTCACTTTGAACTCAGCCTGAGGACCTAAGTTCAATCCCTGGAACCAACATGAAAGTGGAGGGAGAGAACCAATTCCACAAAGTTGTCCTCTGACCTCCACAAGTGCACTGTAGTTAACACACACACACACACACGAAAAAAACAAAAAAGAATAAGGGGCTGGAGAGATGGGTCAGCAGTTAAAAACACTGCCTGTTCTTGCAGAAGACCCAGGTTTGAATCCCAGCACCCACATGGCAGCTAACAACTGTAACTCCAGTTCCAAGGGGATCTGACGGCCTCTTCTGTCCTCTGCAGGCATTGTACAACACGGGTGCACTTACCTACATGCAGGCAATGCACACATACACATAAAAATAATATTTAGAAAAAAAAAAAAAAAAAGGGTATGGTGGTGTGCACCTTTAATCCCAGCACTTGGGAGACAGAGGTAGGTGGATCTCTTTGAGTTCAAGGCCAGCCTGGTCTACATAGTGAGTTCCAGGCCAACTGGAGCTACAGGGAGACCCTGTCTCAAAAAAACACCAAAAAAAAAGAAAAAAGAATTTTAAAAAACCTATCAACTAAATCAAGCAATTTCTTCAAATTAAGCGTTTTTCGCCCTTCCACAGCTCCTCAAGGCTTCTCTAGCTAAAGAACGTCACACTCCCCCAGGAAATGATACACAAACCACAGCCAGCCCTTGCTGGGATAAGCTGGGATGCCAGCCAGGCTCCTAATCTTTCAGGCTAATAACCTTCGATATACAACTACAGAAGAAAGATGGTAAATCCTGGGCTTCTGTCTGCAGTATCACCTAGGGCCCAAGCTTCATCTGAGTGTGAGCACTGTACTGGCTCATGGCTCTCAGCAACCTGGGCTCTACTGCCTGTCACTGTTACCAATTTCCTCACATTCTCCAAGAGCAGCGTCTCCAAGCCCATGTGCCCACAGTCATCCAGTTCTGGGATCTGAGACCGCCTAACAAAGGGCCTCACACTCTGGCCTAACAGGGGGCAGATATGCAAATTTCACACAATTCTATGGGCGAGCCTGAGGTCACTTACACATAATTGCATTCAGAGGGGAATTAACTGCAGCTGCTCACCCAACAAGACCTCAATCTGGTTTGTAGCAGCTGGTACTGGCTGGGGCTTCATGTCCCCCTCCAGGAAGTCCAAACTAGTGCTCTTATTTTATCTATCTATCTATCTATCTATCTATCTATCTATCTATCTATCTATCTATCTATCTATCATCTATCTATTTTGAGGCAGGGTCCCCTGTAACCCAGGCTGGCCTCAAATTCTCTCTGTAGTCAAGGATGACCATGAACTCCTGATCTTCCTGTCTCTACCTCCCAAATGCTAGGATCACCAGTGTGTACTACCACACCCTATTTGCAGTGGTTGCTGGACTTGAACCCATAGCTTTGTGTATGCTAGGTAAGTACAATGCTACCTGAGCCACATCTCCCACCCCACAGAAAAGCTTATCTGCAGCTTTCTAGCTGGGTTAAATGACAAAACATTGTCATTGGGAAAAATATAATTTCATGATCACCATGCCACATGCCTGGTGGTCAAAAGACAACTTGTGGGAGTCAGTTCTCTCCTTCTTCCATGTGGGTCACAGGGATTGAATGCAGATGGTTAGGATTGGTGGCAAGCACCTCTATCTGCTGAGCCTTCTTGCCAATACTCTGGATATATTTTAAAGGAAATATTTGCTCACAAACAGATATAAGCAATTGAACAGATCAGAGCTATTTATTTAATTGGCACATGGACCCAGGGGCAGATCTAGGAGAGGAAGGAGCAGCTGAGGGAAGTCCTAGACTGACACAAATCCACACTGTTGGGCAAGATAGTGGGGAGACACTCTCAGCCACAACACGGAGAGGCCTCCAACAAGTCTAGCCACACATGAACTGCATTTCACAGTTAACCGGGCCAAATACACCTATGATCCTCAGACTCAGGAGTTAAAGGCATGAGGATCAGGAATTCAAGGCCAGCCTGCAGATACATTATGTATGTCTGTATTGGGGGAGGGAGGCCTAGAGGCTGGAGAGATAGCTAAGTAGTTAAGAGCACTTGCTGCTCTTGTAGAGGATCCAGTTTCAGTTGCCAGCACCATATGGTGGCTAACAACCATCTGTAACTCCACTTCCAAGGGCTCTGACACTCTTCTTGCAGCTACACCTACATACATACAGGCAAAACACTCATAATACGGCCTCCGGTGTCCTGGTGCCAGCACCTTTCCTGGGTAAGTACAGCGGTGCCCACCACACCTTGACCACCCCCTCAGCCTCATTCACCCTCCCAGCTCCCCCACCCTGGCTCTCCTCCTACTCTGAGTACTGGCCCATTTCTTGTCTTGGCACCCCAGATACCGGGGCTGACCTCTTGGCCCAGAGCCACCACAGCTTCCTGATCCTTTGCATCCAGACCAACCCAGTTCCTCAGAGTAGTCCCCAGGAGCCCTCAGGGCCTCTTCCCATCCCCAACTCCCTTTTGCATCCCTGGGTGGCACAGCCAGCAGCTTCCTGAGACCAGCATCTTTCATAAATTTAGTTAAAAGTTTCCTCTACATAGTTAAAATAGAAATGAAAATTTAGTCAACTGGGCATCCCTGGGCAGAACAGCCACCAGCTTCCTGGGGCCAGCATCTTTCCTGGGTAAGTTCACAGCATCCACTGCACTTTGACTCCCCGAGCCTCATTCACACTCCCAGCTCCCCCACCCCATCTCTCCTCCTAGCCTGGGCACTGGCCCATTTCTTGTCTTGGCATCCCAGACCTCTGGACTGACCTCTTGACCCAGACACCCCCACTTACTCCTGATCCTTTGCATCTAGACCAACCCAATTCCTCCCTGTAGTCCCCAGGAGCCCTCGGGCCTCTTCTTGCTCCCACCTCCCTTTGCATCCCTGGGGGCCAGCATCTTTCCTGGGCCCTGCTCCCAGGCCAGCCCAACCCTCATATTCGTGAGGCCAGCATCTTTCCTGGAGGGATCCAGACCTTAGGCGAAAGCCTGAGAGCATCTGCTCCTCATCTGACTTGGGTCTCTGTGGGACGTCTTGAGCAGCAAGATGAAAGCAATTTGGCCACTCCAATATAAAATCAAAAGAGAACCCGAAACCTACACCAACCAGCTTTTCATGCCCAACAAGTAACCCACAAAGGCACATAAAGGTTACAAAAAGAAGCAGACCTAAACTCAACAAAGGAAGGCTTGAGTCTCACACAAGAACCAGAATCTACAAAATAAATCCATGTGTCAAAGTCACAGAGAAAAAATAATAACATGAAAAATCAAAATAATAATCCCTCTAGAGGATCAGTCCTCTAGAGGAGTACAATGAGAACCCCCTAGAGATAATACGGGACACGGAACTCAAAAGAACAATTATAAACATGATAAAAGGATTCAGTGATTTTAAAGAACAACCAAAAAAGAAACTAAAGAACTGAAGGAAGATAGGGATAAACTTCTGAATGAATTC